GGGGCAACTTGAGGTTTGGTTTTACTCGTAGGATGTCTCATCCGGTGTGCCCTGAGAACGAGATATGTGCGACTCCTATCGGGATTTGTCGGCACATCGGGCGGCTTTGCTGGTCTTGTTTTACCATTGTCGAGATGTTTGTAACCGGGATTCCGAGTCTGATCGGGTCGTCCGGGGAGAAGAAATATCCTTCGTTGACCGTGAGAGTTTGTGATGGGCTAAGTTGGGACACCCCTACAGGGTTCTGAACTTTCAAAAATCGTGCCCACGGTTATGGGTAGATGAGAATTTGTTAATGTCCAGTGGTAGAAAACTTGAAACTTAACTTAATTAAAATGAATCAACCGCGTGTGTAGCCGTGATGGTCTCTTTTCGGTGGAGTCCGGGAAGAGAAGACGGTCTCGTGTTATGCTTGAACGTAAGTAGTTTCAGGATCACTTCTTGATCTTATAGCTTCTCAATCGTGCTTTGCTTCTCTTCTCGCTCTCATTTGCGTAAGTTAGTCACCATCTATACTAGTACTTGCTGCAGATCCACCTCACTACCTTTTCCTACTCATAAGCTTAAATAGTCTTGATCGCGAGCGTGTAAGATTGCTGAATCCCCATGACTCACAGATTACTTCCAAAACCAGATGCAGGTGCCGATGATGCCAGTGCAGGGGACGCGACCAAACTCAAGTGAGAGTTCGACGAGGATTCAGGATGTTATTATGTTTCCTTTCCGGACGATCAGTAGAGAAGCCCAGTTGAGGCGATCGGGGATCTATGCAATTGGGATTGTCTTTATTTATTTTGTTCCGTAGTCGGATCTTGATTGTATTCTGGATAATGTAATGCTAAATTTACGTATTGTGTGAAGTGACGATTATAAGCCAACTCTTTATCCCTTTCTTATTCAGTACATGGAATGTGTAAAGATTACCCCTCTTGCGACATGACTACTATGCGGTTATGCCTCTAAGTCGTGCTCCAACAAGTGAGAGATATAGCCGCATCATGGGTGTTACACATACAGAGCAGAATATAATTATCTATGTTTCTCCAATCCATCTGCTTCTTGATCCAGAATACACTGATCTACATTAGTTCTCCGACAGTAAGTTCAAACAATGCAGGAGTATCTGCACTGTAAGATATGGACAAGTCTGATATATGTGTTCAGAAGACGGGTTAAGAAAAGGGAAACATACATCATCTATTTTGTCAGCACATAAATTATGAGGTATTTCGGCCAACTGCCATATTGGCACCAGAAATCAGCTAATTTAACAGGCTATCTCTTATGGCATTTCCTCCTCGAGCATAATCCTGGTAAATCCAGGGCAAAGAAGAAGAAAATGCATTTGTTCTGTAGTTATAACATCAAACACTGCAATTATATTAAAGATGACTGTCACGTCATCTAGTGAGACAAGTGATATGCTTAACAGCACTACTAGCAAAGACGAGTGTCACGTCATCGCTAGGATCAACTCTAGAATTAAACCAATATTATCCCATTGTTTAGTTAGGGAAAATCTAGGCTTCTCGCTCCTTTGCACAACACTGAAGTTCCAAAAATCAAAATGAGGAAGAATTTTATAGTGATCAGGAATGGGGTGTTTGTGGTAATTGTCACATAATCGTTTTTTCTTATGGTCCTTGTAGAGACAAGTAACATGTCATCTTTATGACGAAGGCGACATAAACCAAATTGGAAGTGTATCATGAGGTGTCTAGTTTCATCTAGCACACGAATACAAGACATGTAGAACACTTCAGTAAATATTGATAACTATAATCAGTTCTCAGAAAATCACACCAATATCATTGCATTCTTGGGCAACATCTAGGCTTCACTCAAATTTGCATGATGCCAACATTTCAAAAATGAAATGAAGATTTGACAGCCAACACATTATAGTTTCCATGTTTCCAACTTCTGAATGATAAAAAGATGCCGTTTAGCTTCACCAAAATGTAACATTGATTTCAAGATGATTAGCTCAAAACAACAACAAAACATAAATCTATTGTCAAGTAGCAACATATAAAGATAGCCAGCATATAATACTATCACTGCCGTTAAAATGACAAGCAGAGACTTTACCAGGCAAGGAAGACAACGTTCAAGCTATGGCGCTGCCTCCTATGGCTCCTTGCTGCTCCGAAAGTCACGCTTGAGCTCAGTGACCCTCTTCATGCACCCAGCCTTTGTCTTCCCAGGCACTGCTGCGGCCACCTTCTCCCACCTCATTGCCGTGTCCTTAGGGAACTCCTTGAGCGCGTTCAGCAGAGAACGGTCCTCGCCAGCACTCCAACCACCGTCCCCTCCTCCAGCATTGCCACCTGTGTCTGCGTCAGCGGCCCCGGCCCTTGGGTCCAGCGGCTTTCGCTTGCGCAGGAACTGCTCGAACGAGCCACCAGCCGCCGTGGCGCCGCCCGACTTTGCTGCGCGGATGACGCTCTCCGGCGTGCGGCGGCCGCCGAACACTGCAGCGATCTTCTCCCAGCGCTGGGGCTCTCCTGCCGGGTGCTTCAGCATCTGCCGCCGGAGAAGCTCCATTTCTTGGTCGGTCCACTCGCCAACCTCCTCCTCCCTCTCCCCGCCGTCCAGAACAGCGGTCCCCGCACCCATCGCCTCCTGCCGCAGTGGAGGCGGCTGGACGGGAGGAGCGACCGGATCTGACGACTTTGGGGGCGGCGGGGCGGCGTTCTGGCGGCGACCCCGGCGGGAGGGGGCGATGGGATCCGGGGTGGGCTCCTGGGACGGTTCCTGGTCGGGGAGGAGGCTGCCGCGGCCGACGGAGATGTCGCCACCAGTGGCGGAGGATGGCGCGAAGGGGGCGAGGAGCAGCGAGGATGCGATCCAAACGAGAATGGAGGCGAAGACCTGGTACGCCGAGTCGAGGGAGTAGGCTGCGGCGAGGAGGAGCACGGCTGCAGCGGCGCAGGCGGCGACGTGGGGGAGAGAGCGGGACGCGGGATTCGCAGTGGGGGATGAGAAATTGGCGGCGGCATCGGCGCGGGAGTGGACAACGCGCGCGCGCGGCTGGGAGTCCCAGTCGTCGTCGATGAACTCCATAGCCGGCGGCGGCGAGGTCGAGGCCCGCCGAAGGCGAGGCGGAGCGAAGATGCGAGATTCGGAGTAGCAGTTTCAGAGCATGTACAACTGAACCCTCAATTTCCTCACTCGGTTCACGGGATTTGCTGCAATCCAAAGGAAACTTAGGCCTCCTTTGGTTCATAGAATAAAAATGTTGTAGGAATAGAAAAATTATAGGAAGTGAGATGACATGCATCTCAATTTCTATAGAGAAAGAGATGTCATTTGATGCATAGGATAGAAATTTTTTCATTGAGTAGCTAATGTTTTTTTTCCTCTAAAATGTGAAGAATTGATTCCTATCCATTCCTACCAACCAAAGGGGCTCAAAGGAAATTTTTCTATACAAATCATATCATGTAGAAATCCTATGACATTCCTACAAACCAAAGGAGGCCTTAGAGTATCTACACCAGACTCACTAGTTGAATGCCCATGCGTTACCACGGGAATATGAAAGGGGGCTACTCTGCGCCGGTGTTTGGTCGGTCAAACAGCGCACGTACGATACGGTCTATATCAGCCGCAGGATTCCTTCTTCCCCTAAACTGCTTCACTAGTAAAAGAAACATGACGCATGTGCATCCGGAGCAGTCCCGTGATCCCCAATACGTCAGCCTGCTCGCCGGCCGTCCAGATCGCCGCCAGCCACTGCCCTCGTCACCGTCGGCTGACTCCTGTCGATTCCACGGGACGCCGCCCTCGTCGCTGGTGGTCGACATCACGCCCTTGGCCTCGCCGGTTTCTGCAGGATGTCGCCTCCACTCGTAGCAAAACGCCTGACGTCTCTGTCGTTGCAGCACCTAGCCGCCGCCGTCGTATCACGCCCGTCGCCGCGCCACCGTGCCTCCGGCCGCATCACTCAGTGTCGCCGCTCACACCCAATTAAAGCTTTTTCTCATGTTGGTTGAAGCTTTTTCTCAGGCCGGTTGTAGCTTTTTTCTACCCGTCGGCGCTCGCACGGGGTTGAAGAACGATGGCTGCCAATGAACTCCATTTAAATGGATGTAGCAAAAATGCTCGCAGGTTGTAGCGAAAAAACGAGCGCCGCCACAGTACCACTCCCTTAGATGTAGCAAAAACAATCGCAGGTTCCAGCAATTCGAGATGCCGGTTGTAGCAAATCTCGAAGCCGGTTCCAACAATATCACGACTGCTCGGTGTCTAGCGGTTGTAGCATCATCATTGTCTGCCATCGTGTGGATGCAGCATATGTTCTCGCCGGTTGCAACCTTCGACCTCCCATAGTTGTAGCATCGCTCGCCGTCGTGCAAAGAAGGTCGCCATGAACGGTCCCAGCAAATCGTGCGGTCGCTTCCAGCAAATAGCGTAGACGGTTGCAACAAACAAAAACTAGTGCATCGGCGGACTCTAGCTTCTTAGGACCAAGGTTGCAGCTCTTCTAGGCACGGTTCCAGCTCTGTTGTGCGCTGGTTGAAGCTCCGGAAGCCGGTGGTTGTAGCAAAGACGTTTGGCCGTTCGGTGGGCTCCCAATTTCTTCGGCTCAGGGTTGCAACTCTACGGGCGTGCCGTTCCAGCTCCGCTGTGTACTGGTTGCAGCATCTTGCCATGCGGTGGAGATTGGTGTGGGATAGCAGTGGTCGACCTCGTGCTTGTCTACAGGAAAGAGAAGGAAGGAGCGAGAGGAAGAAGATAACGAGAGAGAAAACGGAAGGGGATATGGCGGGCCCAAGCATCTATGGGCTGACGAGGTTGCGTGGGTGACTAGTCAAACTTGCGGAGGGCCCTTAGATTTGCATGCGATCGAACAAGCACGACGCGACCGGCCGAAGATTTGACCGGTGCGCCGTTTACAAACGTTTCCCATACGAAATATGATGTAAAAAGATAACTCGATATGAATTAACAATATCCATATCTATCAGCGACACATTCTGCAAAGTGAAATACATATATAACTATATGAATTAAATACGGAAACACTAACGCCCACACGTGTGGGCGTTCTTCAACTCGCCCACACTCCTGGATCGTCGTTCACTGTTTTTTGCATGAATCTTGACACGAAAAGGTGGATTTGGTGTGCCACGTAGGACAAGTCTTGTGTGTGGCGTGTAGGTAGTTCGTCCGCACGCTGGTTTTTTCTTCGAGGTCAGCGGTTGCGAGTCGGGGCATGCGGTGGAACTATCGTCGCGCCCGCACGCCACGCCCAACAGCGGTTGCCGTCTCCCATGACTTGCCACTCGCGCTCCCCTCGCGGTTCATCACTCCCCTCCCATTCATTACTCCCCAACCCACCATCCACACCAGTTGCAATCGATTGAGGAGAAACCGAGATGAGAAGGCGGCAGCGGCGGCGAAAGAGTTGACCGCATTCGCGGCCGTTGGTGGGGTTCGTCGGACTGGAGCATCGTCGCCGGAGCAGCCGCAGATTGAAGGTAAGGCTACCTTCGTGCTCACATTCATGCGTGCAATTTCTGCCCCCTCCCTTTGTGGTCAATTTCCCCTCGACTTTCGTCGAGATTCTGGCCGATTTGCGGTGCTCCGGTGTCCGAGTCGACGGTGGAGTCGCGTGCTTCCCATTTAGGATGACATTGCGCAGTTTTGTCGCCGCCGCGGTGGCAGTCATGCCGTGTGGCTCGCCTGGTCCGCCGCCGCATCTGTATTTTTGCCTGTGTTTGTGCGGGGATTTTCTAAATGTTAGTTCTGATTTTGCCTCGAAATGCTATGGCCATCAGTGTAGGACATTTTTTGTTGTTGAATTCAGGGTATGATAGTTGTGATTGAACCCTAGATCTACTTAGGTGCATTTCAAGTGTAGGATAATGACAGTCATGGCATTTTCAACAACTATCATCACTGATGGCAACTAATTTTTTGAATCAACCGTGTCAGTTGCCATGTCAGTTGTAGGATAATGTCAGTTTGTGAGATCCAAGTCAGGGAGTAATTTTTGTGTATGATATATATATATATATATATATATATATATATATATATATATATATAGGTAGTTGCATACTTAAGTGTGTGATAATGGCAGTCACGGCAATTTTCATTGCATTTGTTTACCCATGACTATGCTTCTAAGTGGCAACTAACTTTGTGAATCAACTGTGCCTATTGCCATGTCATATGCAGGATAATGGCAATTTGACTGTACAATGGACTCAACTGTGTTTGCCATGCTGACTTTGTGATAGCTAAACATATTTGAATGTATTGCATGTCAGTTCATTTTTGTATGAGGCCAGGGTGTGAGTTGCCACATTATATGTTGTACGGTGGAAGTTATCTGCCCTTTTTTGAAGTGCATTGTGTTAACATGGCAACTTGAACCTAGTAGATGTGATTTGTACTTTTTTATGAAGCCAATGTGTTAGGTGCCACATTTCATGTTGGACAATCCCAGGGGTGGGTGTTCCTCTGCTCTGCCTCATTTGCCACTTTCATTTGAGCCAACATGGCAAGTAGATTATGCTAGATGGCAACTGCTTCCTTCAGAAGCACAACACGTCCAGTTGCCATGTTTCTGCAATTGCTTTTCCATTTGATTATTTTTTTTACCTTTTTGTGCATGTTCAGCACATGGCAACTACTGTCCTCTTCGGATGCTTAAACTTTGGGGTAACCATGGGAGTTTTCTTTTTTTGTTCATCGATGATAACCAGTGAATCTTTACTTCATGCATTTGTTTCCGTATCCGTCGGCTATGTTTTCATTTCACCCTAATGTGGGTTTTGTTCTTACCATAGCACAATGGCTCGCGGTGACCGTCAAAATAATGATGATGACTTCATGGAGTTACCGCAACAAAATCGCGCGACCGGTCGGACAAAAGATGGCGATGAGGTCACTTTCCACCCCCATATGTTTTTAATTTCACACTGAGTTTTCAATCTTCTGTTAGAAGTAAATTTTCACTACATTGACCATGGCAACAAATGTTCCTTTTTCTGTTATGCAGAAGAAGAAACGTCAGCGCAATAGGGCTTCACAAGAACGCCTGACTATATTGAACGAAGGATTTACTGATGAACAGAAGGGAGCTGCCGGTGAGATGGGGATGCAGGCTCTGATGAATGTTCGGTGCACAAACCTAGTAAACCCTGTATGCGACTAGCTCGGTGAGATATATGATCTTGCCTCTAGGGAATTCGCCATTCAAGGATGTGGAAGACTGCGTTTGGATGAGGAATCTGTGTCTGCACCTTGGGGTGTGCCCCGTGGAGATATCAAAGTCCCGTATGAGGTGGATAATAAGATTGAGGAAGCTTTGTTCGCCCGTTTGTTTCCTGGAATGGCTTCCATGCCTAATACGACTGTGCTGGCAAATTCGCTGGAGGGCATGAAAACTCATGGCGAGGTATTTAAGATGAAGCTACTCATGTACTTGATCTCAGCTGTCTTTGCGCCTACCACATCTCTTCGCCCAAGCAACAAGTGCTTCCCTATCCTGGTGAATGCTCTGTCTCTACTTCTTTTTCCCTTCCAATCTTTTGATTTTGATGTCACCTGGAAGCCAGTCACTGCCAGTTTTTTGATGTGTTTTTATTTTTAATGCTTATGCGACAACTTTTCGTCCTGAAATTGTGTTGTGCCGGCAAAGCTGAAAGACGTTAAGAACACTAGATGATTCCCCCGCGCGTTGCAGCGGGAATTAGTAGCTCAAAGTTTCTTGAAATACGATTAAGAACATATGGGACAATTAAGCAAATGAATCATTTGCTATGAATAATAATGAATCATTGTTTTTATTTCATAGGAAGGAAAAGGCATATTGATGTGAAAGTGAGCATGTGGTTTTATAATAGAATCCTCATCATAAAAATGATTAAAACTATTGGTGGTATATATTTTGTCAGATTCTTTTGAGAATAACACTTCTAGAATATCTTGTAGCATAGAACTTGCAGAACATTAACCAAAATAATCATCAGGAAGAAAAAAGTATTGGGCAGATAATCGCTATCATTCCCTTACAGACACCTTCATTCAATCTACAATGTTATAGGAGG